AAACCACCACCACTATGATAACTGGAACAATTAAAATTTTTTTCATTTGTTCTCCCCAATCTTCTCTTATTTTTTTGAAGTTGTGCTTTATCAACATTTTCAGAACATATTAGTAAAACATACAGTACTCTCTCCCTTTAATCCCCCATTTAGCCTTAGTTCTCCAAGTAACTGTATATTCACTGCTTGCCACCACTCCTTATTTGATGGCTCTGTTTTTTATATCTGGCTCTTTAATGACAAATTCAGGATATAGAATAACAGTCCCATCTTGAAAGCAAGCAAAGACGCTATGAAGACTATTGATTTCAACTCTCGGGGATATAAGGTTATTTGGCTGTAGTTTGCTTTTTAACTATAATCTTATATAAACTTCTTTGTTCCTTACACATAAATGTAGTCATAATCTTGTTCCCCCAAATCTTCTATAATAAATTATTCATTACTTCTTAAAAGCCTTGCTTATTGTTCTGCCATCCCCTGCAAGGTGATTAGAAAAACGTGATTAGTAAAGTCGGATGGAATCCAGAGGGCTGTATTTCCTCCCTTTTAGATGTTGGTTTCAGGCTTGCTTTTCACAGCTGCTAACAAGTAACAGCAGATTTTTAGTCTCACGACCCGTCTTCCTGCAATTTGGTTGGACCATCCAATAAAGCAAAACCTACTGGGGAGCAGGGCATAGCTCAGTGGTAAAGCGTGTGCTTAGCATGCACCAGGTCCTGGGTTCAAGCCTCTGTGCCTCCGTTAAAAAAGTACAAAAGAAAAGAAATCTATTGGACAACAAGGGCAAAAGGAGAGAAGTTTTTCAGAGGTAATTGTTAGATTCAAAATCTAGTCCCTTAAGAATAAAAGAACATGTTTCTTAGCACTAGTACTATCCAGAAAACAAACTTTTGTAAATTCAGAGCAATACAGAAGGCATCTTTAAAATCTGTAAAACTTGAAAAAAAAACTTCAAAAACTGTATTTTAAGTGAAGGTTTAAGTCACCTGCTACTATTAACCTCAGGGCAGCAATTCTCCAGCCCATCCCTGGATTCCCTTTATGATAATTTCGCCCCCTAGAGGACAAATTAGGTGCTGGCACCTGAATCATTTTGCCTTTTGAATTGAGTTCTAAAATAGTGAAGTGCAACTACTACTCATTATTTCACTGTGCCTTTAACCTTTTATAAAAAGGAATTTATAATTCATTGTTTTCAAAAAATGAAAATCACTATTTGAAGCTGTGGACTACTAACAAAAAAACTTTGCTCATTTTCTTTATAGCGCCAACTGCCACTTTCTCAAGGCCTTACGAGGGGAAAACTGATTCACGTGTTATTCTTTAAAAGCTAACTACTTCTAATCCTACAAAAATCCACGGAGATTTTTTTCTTTTACGTATTTTTTTTCACCTAACTTTCTAAAATGTAGGTTGAAAAATTGGATTGTGAATTTACAGTAAAGATAGTTCCGGGTCAGATCTCCTAAACGATTCAGCTCTAATAATGTTGCTTATTACTTTTACTGGGTGCTAAGTGTCTTTGTTTTTGAAGTGAGCTTACTCCAGTCATTGAATATTTAACATGTAATTACTGCCTTCCAGCACTGAAGTTTTTTGAAAAGTCACTAAAAGATTCATCCTTTTATTCAACTGCAAAAAATAAATCTGTATAATGATCAGAAGTTAAAATGTACAATTCTTTTCCTTCTGTAAATATGTATTATTGTGAGAAATAAAGAATGGCAGGACCATTGCTTTCATTAAAATATCTACTGTGTCTGTTCTTAAATATGGATCTTGATAATTTTTTACATTAAATATATTACTTTTTATGCTCTTAAACCTAATATACTTTTTAAATTGTCATCATCCAGCAGTATCTATCGGGAAAATTTACCTTCATTTAGGCCAGCAGTTCTCAATCGGGGACAGTTCTGCCACCCAGAGGACATTTGACATAGTCACAATGTCATAACTGAGATATGGTATGCCAGGGATGTGGGTCAAGGCAAGGGATGCAACTCAACATTCTACAATGAACAGAACAGCCCCTCATAACAAAGAATTAATGCTGCCCAAAATGTCAATAGTGATGAGGTTTAGAAACCCCGACTTACACCAAGGTAATGGTGAGCACCACGGAGTTACTATTAGTTCTGCTTCCCAGGGGCTCCATTGAAATGTAAAAGGCAAAATGAAGATGAATTTTGTGCATCTTACTCTCTGCTAGATACGTATTAAGTTTTGGGTGGCTCTTGCTGTCATGGGTACTCCAGTTCAGAATATGCTCGAACATACGGAAGTGTTTTGGATTTTTCACAAGAAGAGGCACAGGCCAGAGCACAGGTGTTATTGGCATGACCTCTGATGACTGCTGAGTGACATCCTAAAAAATAGCAGGAACCCAGGGTGGCTTAAGAAGACTTGGGTTATAGTTATTGAAGTAAATAAGGTAAAACATTACAGAGAGACACCTATGTCTAAGATCCTTGAGGCTAAGAAATATTTAAGTTTTTAATCTTACGTCTGGAGAATCATCTGGTATTTTAATCCTGCAGGCTTCAGAGAAGACCACATGTAGGTCTTGCTTAGGGCTAATCATTGCCCCAAAGCAGCCATTTAAAAGACCCAATGAGAGTGAAACACAGCGAAAGACTAGTCAAGACAGATGAGGGACAGCAGAACAATATATATTAGAGTTGCTGAGTTTAACTTGCTCCAGATTATAAGTGTAGTAATTTGCTACAGAGTTAACCCAGGCAACTGAGTAAAATTGGCTGGCCCAGGTAATCAGATAAAATGAGGAAAATGCTCAGTACTTATATCCACTATGTATTTTTTAGTTTTATTGAAGTATGGTTGATTTACAATATTGTGTTAGTTTTACGTATATAGCAAAGTGATTCAGTTATACACATATATATTCTTTTTCAGGTTCTTTTCCGTCAGAGTTTTTATTACAAGATACTGAATATAATTCCCTGTGCTACATAGTAAATCCTTTTTTTTTGTTAATCTGTTTCGTATATAATAGTGTTATCTGTGAATCCCATACTCTTAATTTATCTCTCCCCCAATATCCACTATATTTTGATATGCTTCTAAGCGTATTTCACTTTGTCCTTTTGATGCATTCTTAATAATGTATGCCAAGAAGGTCAAAGTCTTATATATAAAATCATACTATCCTTTCATAGTATTTCAAGGGTGTGTTCTCCAGAAATTTCAGCCTTGAGGCATTGTAGTATTAAGACTACCTTAAAGAGAGAAACAATAACTTTCTAATAAGAATTTTTTTTCATAAAGTAGTCCAACTCTTAGAAATAGAAAATAGAATGGTAGTTGTCAGGGAATAGAGGAAGGGGGAAAGAGAAGTTGTCCAAGGCATATAGACTTTCAGTTTTGCAAGATGAAAAAGTTCTGGAGACCTGCTGCATACGGTACACGTAGTTAATACTACTGAATTGTACAGTTAAAAATGGTTAAAATGGTAAACTTTGTATTATATATTTTGTACCACAATAAACAAACAAAATTAGTACGTAGGCATACAAAATAACCTGGTGTATATATAGTTTTATGCCACCCAGTTTGGAAAATTATAATTGTTGGCGAAATTTAGGTAAGAAGTATCCTGTCACTGGTGAAGCCCTTCAGGTTTCAAAAATAAAGTATTTAAATATAGAGACTGAACAAAGCTCTTCCCTGTTGCTATTTTTTCCTCTCACAGGTCTCTCTCCAGACATCTGATGAAATTTAAAACACACAGCTTTGCTTACTGGTTTTTGTCCCCATTTGCAGCGGTTGTACATTCTCTCAGGTGCTTACTGATTTGAGTCGCCAGTCTGAGTCAGTACCACTTAATTGTAAGATTCCTGATGGAACTCTTAGGAAGGGAAGGCAGTTCTTGTTTTTGTAATGTGTACTATTACTGTTGTTGTTGTTGTTGTTGTTGTTTTTCACACTGAATATCTTGAGCTCAAATAATTTAGGGGACCACAAGGAGGGGAGAGTTTGCCTGACACTAAAGTCAACGCAAGGAAAGCAGACCCAAGAGAAAGTGAGAAACTAAATCCTTATCTTCTGAGCCTCTGGCTTCAAACAAGCATTATCTCAGCTTCCCCACCAGAATGATGGGAGCTAGAGAATTCTATTTGTTCCTGAAGCCATTTTAATTTGGATTTCCATCACTTGCAACCAAAAGAAATTTGACGAATACGCGCTCCATGCATTATCTCTGCGTCCTTAACATTTGTTTCCCCCCTTACCTCGTTCAACCTGGGTTCTGCAATTTTCAATGTAAGAGTCCTAAGTGATATAAAAATCAGCACCCAAAGTGGAATTATTACTTTAGATCATAAGAGACAGTGTAGAATTAGCTGAGCTGTGACTAGGCTGGGGTCATTGGGCAGTAAAGATTCCTCCGTTGCAGGATAAGAAACTTAAGTTTTTGTGTATAGATGTAAAACTGTTGGCATATGGCCATGGAGGGTGAAACTTTAGAGGACTTACTAGCATAATGTCCATAATGGGTTAGTATCAGTATGCCAGTTATGAATCCATTAATTTTCAGCTTCAAACTAAATCCTTTTTTTGCCCGCAGCATGAAAATGAATCTGGGCCTTCCAAATATCTCTCCTTTGCCAGTTGACAAAAGAAGTTTTGTCAATAGGGGGCACTTGAGAGATCTTGCGGGAGGAAAGGAGTTCTGTTTCCAAGTTCTGGTGCGCACACTTCCAGTAGCTCACAGGGCCAGCAGCACCCAGAGACAGAAGCTTCCTCCAACATCCCCCTGGATGCCTCCCATGAGACACTTCTGTGTGAAAAATAGCTTCCCCTGGCACCCTAGAGGACAGATTTCTAGCAAGTTCCAACAGCATGGCACCGCAGTAACTTCTCTGCTATCCAGTGAGCCACAGCAGGGCCCTCTCCAGCAAGACCTGGATCTCAGCCCTAGAGGTGGTGGAAGCAGCGTACTTCTTTGGGTATTCTATCTCAATCACATTTTTTTTCTTTTAAATATGGACTGCATCATGAATTTGAGTATCATCCTCGCACAGGGGCCATGCTCATCTTCTCTGTATCATTCTGATTTTAGCACAGGTGCTGCCGATGTAAGTACTCAACCCTATATTCCGCAGAGTTCCCTTTACTTCCTAGATCAACCCCTAGTAGAGAGCTACAAATTCTTTACATTAAACTTTTTCTGTTCAAATCTCTCTCCATATTAGATCCAGACTGACAAATCAGATAATGTTACATTTTCCTGTTTACCTTCAATAGAGTACAAAAGAAACTTGGATGCTCCCTAAGATGTTCCTGGATGTGAACAGGAGAAAAAGAAGGGTTGGGAAGTGAGAATGCTGAGGTCTAAATCCAGAAAGTAATCAGAGAGGCGGGACCATAGCTTAGTGGTCGACTGTGTGCTTAGCATGCATGAGGTTCTGAGTTCAATCCCCAGTACCGCCACTAAAAAAAAAAAAGTAGGTAAACAAACCTAATTATCTTCCCCTCACCGAAAAAAAAAAAAGCCTTTTAAAAATTAAATAAATTAATTATTTTTTTAAAAAAAGAAAGTAATCATTTGCTGGACTAAAGTGAAGAAGTCAAGTTCCCTGATTCACTTCCCTTTCTGTGTAGTGAGATTTCTGTGTATAAGATTAAAATGCTGACTGAGAAAGTGTGAGATCTTGGCAACTGGGGAGGAATTAATGGAGGATGTGGGGTACTGTGACTCCCTGAGCCATCCCACGAAGCCTCACGCTGGCTCCCCTGCTGAAGAACAGGATGACAGTGCCATGGCACGTATACTGGACCAGAGTTCAGTTTGGGGCAGAGTGATATTCTAGAAGATAGAGAAGAAGAGGTCTCTGACAGCCCAGCCAGTTTCTCCTTTCACACTGTCCTGAGAGACAGTTTGTCAAACAGGGTGCACTGGGTATGTGTTCTCCCCAGAGACACTGCTCACGAGTATAGCCCAGCCTTGTCTCTTCAATTTAGCAGCCCTGGCAAAGTTTTTGCTGTTTACATTTAGAAAGTTTCCCTAAAATGAAACTGACAGACAGGTGACTAAAGTTTTATCAGAACCATAGCACTAGCAAAAACCCAACCTGTGTAACAGGCCTGGGAGTCATTGGAATCAATGCGGCAGGATGTCCTAATTCCTTAGGAGTCTCAGGAAGAGTCTCATTTTTGTACCTTAATACCTGCAACAAAAAGTGAATTGCACATGAGATACACCCCTCCCTTCTCCTTAGACAGGGCAGTCTACTCTGATGTCCTCTGAGGTGTTCCCCTGGCAATAGCAATGATCCCAGCGGGCAATATCAGAAAGGCAGATTCGTTGATAATGGAATTCTCACCACTGTCAAGTCAACCAAATGATGCCCGCAAGACTCAGTGGTTTTCTGCTCCGCTTCATTAACTCTGTCCAACAGCAGACAGTACATATCCTATGGTTTCTTCTCCTTTCTCCACGTTCTAAATGGAAGTTCTTATTGTAGTTGTATTTGTTCTGCTTTCCAGTACGTAAGAGGTGGTTGATAGGAATTACACTTATGGTTCAGTCTAAGACTGCAGGCTCATGAGATATTAAAAGTGGACCACATAAGACTCAACTAAAGGAAGAAGTAGGAGCTACTGGACTGGAAAAATAGTAGTCATGACATTGCCTCTAGAAACACGGCTAGAGGGGGCTTTAGATTGTTTCCCTTTGAGACATAATATGCATATGTATTGAGGGGGAAATGACTGGAATAACTAACTTCGTGAACAGAAAGAAGAGTGTCTATGTGCTGGAGGCTCTCTAAAAATTAGGCTTTGTTTGCTTTTAAAAACTCCCGCCTCCACTGTTACACTAGAACTCATCTTGTGATAGTTGCCTTTGTCCTGGCCTTGAGCCCAGGACAGAACAAGGTCCAGAATATGTCTATACACGTGTGAAGTCAATGCAAGAAAAAAGGAAAAGGAAAAAGGAAATAGAGGAGGAGGAATTGAGAAGGGGCGAGGGGAAAGGACAGGAAGAGGGATCTTTTATCCTCAAATCAAATCCTTCTCTCAAATGTGAATAAAAGAACATCAAAAAAAAGATGGAATGTGAGGTGATTGGTCGAAATCTACTGACATTTCTGGTCTAGTCCATGGCTCTGCCTCTGAGGACAGCAAAGCTTATCCAGTGAAACAACTGTAGCTGCGTTCAGAATGTCTGTTTCACTGTTGGTTTGCTCTCTTCTGGTTGGCATTCTCTGCTTGGGGAAGGAAGGAGACGACTGCCCCATCTCTCTTGATAACATCCCTTCCAAGTGAATGCACTTAATGGAGACTGACTGGAATATAGGGGTCTCAGTTGCACGTTCTTAAAAGTGTGACAGTCACAAGTTGGGACTATACACACCTTTATGTGAATCAGTTGTAACCTGGAGGCTGTATTCCACTGGATGAAACAGGACCAATGGGCTACTAACAGGAATATTATTTAAAATATAGCTCTATAATAGTACACAAAAATACTGCCGATATGAGATTAAATGTCATGTAAATAGCATGAAAATGCATATGTATAATGACTTTTATGAAGGAGCTGAAATTTGTCCCAACCTGGGGTGGACTAAAAAAGGGCAAATTCTTTTATTTTCTATACTTAATTAGATCTCACTTTTGAGTTTCCGTTTTGTGCTAATTTGCGGCGGTGTGAGGAGAGAATTTAAACTTGGCAATGGAAAGTAACTCAACTCCTACTCTTCTGGGAAGAGAACTGCTTTTGCAGTGTTTCTTTCTCCTCTGCTTTCCCCTCATCCTTCTGAAGTGTTGATTCAGTTAGGAAAATAGGTCAGTGTCCAATCAGGAAAGAAAGCTCTCTTAAGTAGTTCAAAAGAGGATGTTTTACATGGCAAACTAATGACAAAGATGTCAGAATTAATTTGCCAGATGGAGTGGCTCACGGAACTTAGGAAACCAGTTTACGCACTAGATTACTGGTTTATTATCAAAGGATAGAACTCAGGAATAGCCAGATGAAGAGATGTGTACATCAAGAACGGGGCAAATGGTGTGGAGTGTCCATGCTCTCTAAGCATGCCACTATCCTCAATCTCCATGTGGTCACCAAGCAGGAAGCTCTAAAACCTATTCTTCGGGGTTTTTAGAGGCTTCTTTGCATAGGTATCATTGATTAAATCACGAGCTATTGGTGATTGGACACAATCTTCACCACCCCTCCTCCAACCCTCGCCCCCCCCCCCCTCCCGGGAAGGAGGTCTGGGAGTGGTACTGAAAGTTCCAAGCCTTTAATCACACTGTTGGTTTGCCTGGGGACCAGCCTCCACCCTCTGGGGCTTTCCAAAAGTCACTTTATTAACATAACAAAAGACACCTTTACTGCTCTCTTATCAATTAGGAAATTCCAAGGTTTTTAGGAGGTCTGCGCCCCAAACTGGGTCAAAGACCAAATATATATTTCTTATGATAAATCACAAAGGGAGAAATATCTTGGCTTCTTCCTTCCTCTTTCCAGTGTCTCATCAGTGCCTCCCATTGGCTGAATATAGCCAGAAGTCAGCTGGCAAGGGAAAATGGGAAACAGTTTGCAAGGGTCAGCTCCAGCAACACAGAACAGAACAGCGGACCACTGGGGGAAATGGATCTGACAGGCATTAAGCAAATGCCTAGCTCAGATACTTGAGTTACAAATAACAAAAAAGCCAACTGAGAATGGCTTAGGGTTTAACAAATAGGAGGTAAGGTAGCTGCAGAATTGATTAGATTAATCGAATGGCTCACCTATATAAAGGACCTAGTTCCTTCCATTTTCAGCTCTCACCTCTTCAGCACATTGGCTTATCCTCCCGCTCCTTCTTTTCATGATTCCATGATGGTTGCAGAGTTCCAGGCAGCCCAGATAGATCAGAGAACATCCTGCAGCAGCACGGAGTTTTTTTATTCCTATTTGGGTTTTTTTGATCAGCAAAGAAAAGCACTTGGTGAAGCTCCTCGGAAGAATTCTTGTCACATTTCTTTGATCTTAATTGAGTCACAAGCCCGGGTCTAAGCCACTGGCAAGAGGCAATGGCCCAATCAGATTGGCTCATTTCCATCATGGTTTTTCCCCTTCAGTCAAGAATGTGGGTTGCCTCCCAAAAGACATGGTTCAGAGAGAAAGAGGAGACACCTAAACAAAAATCATTTGTTAGAGTGGCGGATGGAAGTGGGGTTTGTGAATGCCTGTTGATAGGAACATGGTGTCTATTATGGTTTTCCTTTCACATTTTGTTCACTTGGACTCCTTCCTGCTCAGTCTGAGGCATCCATCTGCCTGCGTGTATGCACGTGTTGTGTTGAGGTGGGGAAAAGAAGAAATCAGTATTAATTCAACAGGAATGTTGCTTTTCTTTTTTTTTTTTTTGAGAGCATTTCCAAAACAGGCTTAAACAATTAAACTACATGCCTTCAGGGAATAGGTTATTTATGTGCATGGCCAGGAGTAATACTGAAAATATTTAACAGCTGAAATCAAATGGCACTGGCCAGCCAGGACAGACGATGGATGTCAATACTGCACATGGTACCAATTTAAAGAGATACCAAAGGGTATACAGTGAAACCAAATGCGAGCCTCTCTCCCATTCCATCTCCCAGCTTCCCTGTCCACTTCCTCAAAGGTAAGTTCTTTTACCAGCCAAGCAGGCTTTTAAGGTTCTGTAGTGAGACAAAGCCAGGCTTTGTCAAGAAAGAAATTAATTTTCTAAATTCATTTCTCTCCCCTTTTTGCATATCAATTCCTGGCCTAGTGGACTTGACTGAAGAGTTCTGCATATGGGAGCACCCAGTCTGCCCTAAAAGGTGAGGGCAAAGGTCCATTTTTTCCTGGCCAAGGGACTGTGGTTGGAAAAGAGAGACAGAGTATAAGAAAGGTGTGTTAGGCAGGTTGAGAGGAGTGCCCAGGGCTCCGGGGCTGAAAGCACTGCTGCCTCTGAATTTGGGCTGTGTAGAACCAACTTAGGGGTCAGCACTTCACGCAAATTCAGTGACATGGAATGTTTAGAAGGAATGGGTCTTCCAGAGTGACAGAGGGGAGGGCCCCAAGGGATGCCATGGACACTAGTTATGTTGAGAGAATGAGAAGCCTGCCGTGTTGAGGGTCAAGGAATTGGAAGATGATTGTAGCAGAGATTCACGTGGTTCACGGTATTGGTGAGACTGAGTCAACCAGGGCACACCACAGGACCTTCACCCAGCTGAGAGGCCAGTGAAGCCCTCACCAGCAGGTACCAGAAGCAGAATGTCCAGGACTCATTGCATCTCAGAGAGCAGCCAAAATGATCCTTTCTGCAGAAAAGTTCATCAAGAATTCAAAGGAGACCTTGCAGATCTCTGGACCAAAGATTCCCCAGTGGTATCTCAAGTTCATATCAGCTATCCCTGACCTCCCTCTTATCTTCTCCAATATCATTCTGAGGGGAACCAACTGAGAGAGATGAAATATTAAGAGACTTTTAATCTAAACTTAAATGTTTAAATTATTGCAACAGACTAAGTTTGTCAAACTGGACTAACATTTAGAGTTTTCACCCAACTGCCCCAAGGCTGAGGACGTCTTATTTATTCAGCTGAATGTATTTTAAGTAAATCTGTGACATTGCCATAAAAATATCAAGTAGTTTTTCACGTGAAATGCTGCCAAGACAGAAGACTGTGTCTTTTGGCATTTAAGGTTTATTTTTCTAAGCTTAGCTCTCAGAGGGTAACTGCATTTTCCTTACACCCACATTTTTGATGGATTTCCACATATGGCCAACTATATGCTTACATGTATGCCAAGTAACTTCCTAGAGTAAGTGAGGAAGTAATACAAACATGTTTGGATTAGGGTATGAGTAAGGCTGCCATTACAGAGAATAAAATGAAGCAAATAAAATTAAAGTCACAAAATTAATTTTCTGGTTAAGGATTCTCACTAAGGGAAAGATTCTATTGAGTAGAAAATACGCTTTACTTCCTAAAGTGGTAAAAGTAAGTAAAATATGATTGGGAATATATTATCAAAGATGTGAAACTTGGAATCCAAGAAGTATTTTACAAGAGAATTTGAAAAGCACCTGAACTATTGCTATTAGGTACCCTTCCCATCAAGTGCTCTTCCTCCTCCCAAGAAATCTGAAGCTAAAATTAGCATTTCTGCTCTGCTTCTACTGTTTTTGCTAAGGGAGGAAACGGGACAAAAATACAAAATGTACTTTGGTGGAGGGAATTCGTTGCTCACTGGGAAAATAATTTGGTATTATTCTAGGAATTGTCATTTTAAGAAGGAATTGTCGTTTCCTCCATAACGTTTTTTTCTAAGTCCATACAAATCCAATCATTCTACTTCCTATCCTGACGATAGTCACCACTAAAGAAAAATTTAATACTTTGGCAGACACCATTTTTTGTCCCTTCATTTTGTTAGACACCCAAGAGTGTAAATGAATTTAGAACTCAAAGTTCATGATACATGCATAACATTTAACCTAGTGTCGAGGACAATATGGACAATAAGTGATGGAATTGAATTAACTAGGCCCTTCAGTGGCTTCTATTTATGAATCTTTTAGTCCATAGTGGAAAGCTTTAACAAAGCATGGTAATGAAACCTTTTTTTCTTTTCTTAAGTGAACGGAGAATGCTTTATCATGTTCCATATTTCTCTGGCTCCTTTCAGGTGGTTGTGATCTCAACTTATAGATTTGTCAATTGTGTGGACATAACTGAGAACTAAGGGCCCGTTGAAAAAAAACGTTTAAACTGGTGAATAATGTTGGTGAAACGCCTAGATCCATGCTTCTATCTCATTCTTCTTCAAAGCCGTCAAACAACAAAGCAAAGGTATTGGTGGAAAAACGCATCTGTGACTGTAACTCGTCAGTCACATTGTGTTAAGGGCGAAAGCTGAAACCTTCTCAAGGGGCTTATTTTTAATTTCTCCTCTCTATAGGATTAAAATCCCGTAACAGTACTTGGTTTATAACACATCTCCACATGGTCAAAACATACTGACAAGGGCAAACAGTAGGGACCAAATTTTTAACGTTAGTGCCATTTTCTGAAGAAAAGTTCCTGAAAAACCCAATATATTTGATAGGAGTAGGAATTCCTGCAGTAGGGATGCTGTGGGTGTACAGGTGGGCACCCAGCTGTTTATGTCACAACCTGGGACAGGTGCCACGCGCCGGTTGCTACGGAGGCCGCCCTCCCCCACTCCTCGGCCCCGCGCTCGCAGCCCCTTACGTTCGGTGACCGGCCGCGCCGGCTGCACGCAGCGCGATGCCACGGGAGAGCTGCTGGAGCGGGCGGTGGGATCCCGGAGCACCATGAGCCTCGGGCCCGGCCCGGTTTCGGGCCGATGAGCACTGCGCACTCCCACCGCCACTCCCCTCCCGGCCTCGGCTGCGAAGGC